TATATATATATAAAGTTTAAGTAACAGGTGCCAGGGTCCTATTTCCTTTGCCTTCCTACTCCCCCATTTGTGTGAAATATTCTCAGTAAATTTGTTTCCTTAGTTTAAAAAAACATGCAAATAATCCAGAAGAGAATTATTTGAATATGATACCATTTACTGGAATTACAAGGAATATTTTATAAGTTGTTTTGAGTATGAAAATGAGTCAATTATTTTCATTGCTGTTGCATTATCCAGCCCTCCTAGAAATCCTATTTCAAAATTATTTACTAGACCAAGAAAAAGAAATCCATACTATAATGATAGAAAAATGTTCTTTAACACTTAAGTGCCTCTCCCTGTAGTTTGTAAGATGGAATATTAAACATGAAAACCAGGTTCTAGATGTACCCTTCGTTTATGTTAAAATCAGTATAAATATTAATAAAATCATCCATGCATATAATAATAGAGACACTGTTAAAGAGCAGAAAAAGTGGCACAAATTACTTGAATCCATTTGTGAGGAAAAAGTGAGAGAATTGTCTTTAGTTGCTATTATAAAATTTGTTTCAGTGGGATAAAGCTTTTAAAATTTTAAAATATGAAAACTGGTTATACATAATATATAATTAGAATTGCTATTATATAGATAGCCAGAATATTTTCAAGTTAATATAGAAGAAATATCTTCAAAACATATACCTAAATTCCAGGCCCAAAAACAGTTAATTTTCTGAAAGATGAGCCAAATATCGAACCGGGATAAAGACACTGCAAAGACTGGGATCAACGTCCTCACTTGGTGACACTGAATGTAACAAAAGTTTGTTCTTCAGTTCTGGCTTCACTGTTGTACAGTTCCTCTTTGATCCAGTTTCTAGAATTGTCCTGATCTTTGATCCAGTTTCTAGAACTGTCCTTTGGGAGCCCGTGTTCAATTACTTCTCCCCTCTGCCCTTCCTATACCTGGCAAAGACATTATTCACACACTTCCTTTTCTCTCTTACACTCCTTTCTCCACACAGAACTTTTCAGCAAAACAAAGGCATCTTAGACTAAAAGCTAAGTGTGGGCCTTGAGGCCACTTAGACCAAGGTTGTTACAATTCCAGTTATCAGTAGCAGTGAGAGTTGAGGAACTAAGTTACCTTTTCTTACCTCCCCAATAAGTTTGTGGTAAACATTACATGAGGTAAGGTACTAGCAGAGAGTTATAACTTGATGTGAGCTAAGATATTGGAATTTTCTGATTCCTATATTGCCTGGATCATAAGCCAGTTTTGATCATTAGTGTCACAATGTTGAACATCTATGAGCTCACAACCCTGGACACTTCATACAACACCAACTAATTTAGTATCTTCTCAGGAGTGATCTCTCTCATAAGTTATTTATATATCCGTTCCTTGAGGATTCCAAGCCTTAGTGTCTTTGCACTTGGTATTCTCTTTGCCTAAAACGCTCTTCCCCTGGATCTCTGCAAGGACTGGCTGCTTATCATTAAACCACCAGTTGCCAGTGGAGTCGGTTTTGACTATGGTGCTCCACATGTGTCAGAGTAAACTCTGCTTCATAGCATTTTCAGTGGCTGATTTTTCAGAGGTAGATCAACAGGCCTTTCTTCAAGGTGCCTGTGGGTGGACTCCAACCTCCAACTTTTCAGTTGGCAATTGGCGCATTAACTGTTTGCACCACCCAGGGACTCCTTATCATTAAGTTCCTAAATCAAATGCCAGCTCCTCACAGCCTGACCATCCTATCTATGAATCATCCAGCATGTTCCTGTCTGTATTGCATCCAGTAATACATTGGTTTAACAACCGTCTCTGGGTGAAAAACGTCTAATTTTAGCATTTGCCTATTTCTCTGGTATAAAAACTCCTTCCATGGACAATGTCAAGTTACCAATATAATGACACTGGACGGAGAGTTTGGAAGAAATGCAAACAGGGTCCTGTGGTACTTCACTTGTCTAGCTTCTAAAACCAGAGTATGTAATGATTGCCAATGAACACACAAAACCTCGGAAACTCAGGCTCATTTCCTAGAACATCTATTTCACTCAATACCGAGTAATATAAATACTGATAATTTTAAAAATGTACTTATATTCTAAGTGAAATATAGCATTTGCCCTGATTTTTAAAAATAAAAATATTACTTTTAAAGATATAGTGCCCTCATAACACACCTCTTTAGAATAGACCTCCAGGTCCTCATTGGTGTATGAGCATCTTTCTCAGTCCTTTTGGAGTTCTGTGGTTAATTTTGTGAAGAACTGTCTTTAGGTCATAGGAGTCCCTGGGTAGCACAAACAGTGAAGCACTTGGCTACTAACCCAAAGGTTGGTGGTTCGAATCAACCCAAAGGCAGCTCAAAAGAAAGTCTTGGCAATCTACTTCCAAAAGGTCACAACCATTGAAAACCCTATGGTGTGCAGTTCTACTTTGAAACACAAGGGGTCTATATGACTTGGAATTGACTTGAGGGCAACTGGTCTTAGTTCCTATAGATACATGATCTCCTATTCTACCTTTGTCTATTGCTGGCCCTAATGAAGGTACAAGAAGGGTCTTATTAATCCTTTATTACAGTATCAAACCTAAATAGTAAGATGTTTGTGAACTGGATTATGGGCTTGTTTGGATGTAACATTTTCAATACTACACACCTACTACTTCAAAACCACCAAAACGGATTTTGAGCTGTTTGTTTTCTTAAGAGGCTTTACTTTCCCTCTGATTCAAGAAGGTGTGTTATTAAAGGTGTTTTCTATGAAAAACAGAATGAAAGATACAACAGCTACTTACTTAAAGGCAGGGAATTTCTCTAAAAACAAATATTCATTTAAACAATGACATTTAGAAAATATTTAATTTTTGGTACAAAATATAAAAAATACAATTATGCTGTTTTCTTAAGAACTCTTTAAATCACTTAAATAGATTTTTTTAAGCTCAGGCATAGCAATCCAGATGTATTAATCCCTTAATAATTGCTCACAGAGAAATCACTTAACTTTTTATTTACATTTGAAGTGCTAAATAGTATTACCCAAAAGTGCACAGGCTTTTGTAATGTAAAATTTTGTAGTACTTCAAAGTATAAAGTATAAAAGTAATGTATCTTTCAATTTCATTTCAATAAGTGCCCAGGTATTAAAACATATTAAATTAGCAGATTCACTGTATATATCATCCTATGACTATTTAAAACTAAAGGCTTAATTTATGTATTAAATTAGAGAACTCTAGAATTTTAAATAAGAACACTAAAATGAAAAACTGTCTTCCTATATACTGTACGACCCTTGTGTATCATCCAACTTAGTGAAAATTACCTTAGAGCGCTTATCAAACCAGAACTCCAACTGTTAAACTGATCAATTATCCTAACAGGTCTTAAAGTACTATGTAAATGAAAAAATACAAGGCAAATGTTAGCTCTTTTATTGTTATAAAATCATTCCACAGAACAAACAACTTGGAAATAGATTTACAAGGATTTATCAGTTAATTATAGAGAAGTAATCTCTTCCCTAATTGCTTCATGATTAAAAAACAGAACTGAAAGGACTTAAAACTAGATGGGATACAAGGAATAAAGGTCAGCAACTATTGTAACATAGAGCTTTAGATTTTGTAAATTAAACATAACTGCTTTCAAAAATGTTTGAGCTATCCATGATATGAAATAAATTATAATTTTCCTAAAACGTGAATTTGAATCATGTACACTGTGTTCATTGTGCAGGATGTGAGTCAATCTAGCTTAGGAGTGAGACTGGTTGTCCACCCAGAAGCTATATCTCAATTTAACCTTGTTATTCTGTATTAGCTTTCATGCAGCAATAACTCATGTAGACTATATATTTGTTTCAGGTTGTGTTCATGGTTAATGTTACCAGAAAAATAAGTTATATGATATAGTGTCTAATGTATTCTAGTGACAGAATTTGTTCTGATGAACTACTTTATTCAATAGAGAGTTATCTCTCTCATTTAGTAAAAAGCATATAAAGCTATTAGCAATTACAGGGATTTGGAGTCTGTGACCGCCTTCAGGTTATAAATCCTTTCAATTCCTTTTGTTTTGTTTTATCCTGGAGCAATTAAGAGAGAGATAAAGAAGGCCTCCGTGCACATACTTTGTGTATGCAAGTATCTACCCTCCTCTGTTTTCAGAACTAGGTACAAGGAAACAA